GTAAACTTGATTTTCTTAAAATCGGACCATTTAAAGTCAAAAGGATCATAGGACCAGTAAATTATGAACTGCAACTACCCAAGAGCATGAGGATACACCCTATCTTTCATGTTTCGTTATTAGAAAAAGCGGATCCGGAAACACCTCTTGACAAAGAAACCAAGCTAGAAGACCCTACCGAGCAAGAGTATGAAGTTGAGAAGATCTTGGATCACCGAGTCAGACGACGTCAACACTTTTACCTCATAAAGTGGAAGGACTACCCACCGGAAGAAAACACTTGGGAACCGTACAAAAACCTCAACTGTCCGCTTGAACTATCGCGATTCCATCGTGAGAATCCGACGCATCCGAAACCCCTCGGGTTTCGATGGTCTGGTTAAAGACGGCGAGATTATCTGCAAGCTCGCGAAGCTCACCATCAGAGTGACCACCATTTCTCACTCGTTCAGCCTCTTCTTCCTCTTCCAATTCATCCATCAAACAAATAGCCTTCGCTTTTGCACGACTTTCGGCTATCTTCAGAATTTTCCGACTTCGAGAAAGTTGAGCAAGAAGTTTTTGTTGTTTGGCGTTTAGTTGTTGTTGCTTTGCATAAACTTCCGATAATTCCTCGAGACTCTCTTCTATGGCTGATTTGGCTTCTTCCCTGGTCTTATCCAGAATTTCCCAGGACACGTCGACGCATTTTATTCCCTTGCGAGCACAGTTTGCGCATTTGACACTTTTTGAAGAGGACATGGCGACACAGGTCAGTCCACGGATCAAGCAATGTTCACAACTGAGAATTGCGATGCTTCCCGACTCTTCAATTTCGGAAGCAAGACGTTTGCGGCGAAGGGAAGAGACCGAAGACATTTTTGTCTCTCAATCAGCGGCCACTAAACTCCTTAAGTATTAGAAGCTTGGGACAAGCTTACTAAGGAGGGGAATGGTGTTACAAAGTAACACGTGATCAGTCACATGAGTAATCATTTTGATCATTTTTGGGAAAATGATCAAAATGAGCGCATTAGCCAATGGTTGAGGGTTAGGATACTGTTGATTGGTCAGAGTGATCATTCTAATCATTTTGCCAAGAATGATCAGAATGAGCAAGGCAATAAGGATATCAGGAAAACGGTCTATATAAACGTCCTGTCTCTACAGATATTTCAGTCTCCGTAATTCAACTGTCTAGCGTAGCTAGTAGTTAGTTTGAATATATTCTCATACTTCTGAAGCTCATACCATTCTAAGTCACAAACGTAACTATCTTATTATATTCCTTCCTTAATAAGCTCTGGTTATACATTGTTCCCTTGCTCTAGGAAGCTAATCCCTTCCGAAGTGGCTTACATTGGTGAAGCCAGCCGGTATTGGGAAAGTATTCCTAACAAATAATTATATAATATTCATATAATTCTATAAAGAGCTTAGAAATAGGCCTTAAATAAAAGATTAAGATATTTATAACTATAGTTATAATATATATATATATATATATACTATAGATTAATTAAGCTAGTTAAGTCTAGAAAGACTAACTACTATCTTAATCTTAGAGAAGGCTATATTAGGTAAAAAATAGATATCACAAAATTTCCAAAATTAATAGGCTCTTCTAATTATAACTTATAGTCTATTAGAATAGAAGTACTATTAATTAAAAGAGATTATATAGATATTACAAATAATACTATTACCATTGAAGCAGCTAGTAATAATAAAAGCCTATATAGAGAATTACTAGTTAAGACTAATAAGGTAAGTACCTTTAATTAAGCTTATATTAGGAGATAAGCTATTATTATAATTAAGGTATATTAATAATACTAATATATTATGGAATAACCTTAAAAAATTATATAGTTAATAAGGATTTAGTGCTGAATTTATTAGCTATAAGAAGCTAATAAATACTATACTTAAATCTAGTAAAAGTAATATAGAGGTTTATATCTATAATATAAAAAGGCTCTTAAATACCTTAGCTTTATCTGATTTAGTATTACTATCTAAGTTTATAGTAGTATTTATATAAAATAATCTAAGTTCAGATTATAATTATATAGTAGCTATAATTACATAAACTATAAGGTTATCTAAGAAAGGAATAGATCTAGATTAGGTATTTAATTAGCTACTGGATAATGTTAATCCAGAATGAGATATATGATATATTTCTTAAATAACAGAATGAAAATATTAGTCATTTAGGTATTAGGTAATAACCGAGGTATTCAACTAACTGAGGTTATATGAAAAGCGGGGTAATTAGTCTATATAAGCAACAGGACCTACCTCAGTTTTGTAATGTAAGAAAAACAAAATATATATCTTAAATATATAAGTTTTCTTCTATATAAATCTTAACAAGCATCCGCCCTCCAATAGCTTAACATTATTCCCCTAGATAATTATCTTATCTATAGATATAATAAATTAGAATATATCTTTTCTATTATAAATATAAATAGTAGCTCCTAAATTTAGTACCTATTCAATATTAGATTTAATTTTTAATACCTAATTAGTAATAAGGATTAACTCTTCCTTATTATCTAATTCAGAGGTATTATTTATTATCTTAAGCTTTAATTTAGGGTGCTTTATCCAGTATCTTTCTTCTATATTGTTAAGCTATTGGAGGGCGGATGCTTATGTTACAGCGTACTTGCCAGTACGGCTGAAGTAACATGGGTCATGACTAGACAATGCCAAGCGGCAGTCTCAGTCTTGGCATATGAGACTTTCTGCACCAGTCTCAGTCTTAGCAGATGAGACTGTATATATAAGTCTTATCGGGAGCGATTGAGACTGGGTCATGAGGGACAGAAATAAGGTCTATATAAGGAGGATTAGGCTCAGGTTTACGCTTATTGTAATTCAACTGTCTAGTATAGCTAGTAGTTAATTTGAATATATTCTTATACTTCTGAAGCTTATACTATTCTAAGTTATAAATATAACCATCTTATTATATTCCTTCCTTAATAAGCTCTGGTTATATATTGTTCCCTTGCTCTAGGAAGCTAACCCCTTCTGAAGTGGCTTACATTGGTGAAGCTAGTTGGTATAGGGAAAGTATTCCTAACAAAAGTTGAATTACTGAATTATTAGATAGGGCAAGGAATAATATCTTATATCTACTATCTCTAAGAGAAGTAGCGGAAGTCAACAACAGTCTGGTCTGCCAAAAAAGAAGGTTAAGGTTACTTTAAGTACTAGTGCTGCTGGGTTATCAACATATTAAACAACAGTACCTCTACCACCTCCGCCACTATCTAAAGACCCGGAAGTCCTACCAGACGCTCAATTGTTTGACGACTCTGATTCATCTGACTCAAACTCTGATTCTAGAAGTGAGAATCTCTTTAACGATGATATGGCTTAACCAAAAGTTAATCCACCGGAATCTTTCAAAGGAGAGTGATCTAAATATGAAGCTTTCAGATCTCAGCTTAGGATCTATATCTATTGGAATCAGGATAAGCTCAACTCTAAAGAAAAGAAAGTAATATATACTATTTCCTATTTAAGAGGAAATACATATATGTGGATTTAAAGACGAGTCGATCAGTATATTTTAAAGAAGGGAGATATTCTGCATGATATTAAAAGGATCTTCTAGAGTTATTTAGTATTTATGGGAGAAATAGATTAGTATTTTTAGTGAGTTGATGAGGCTCATCTGGCTGAAAAAAGGTTATTAGAACTACGCTAAAAATCAGATGCAAGTTCTTATGTGGTTGAATTTGAGAAGTAGGTAGTAATTTTAAAATAGAATGATGATATACTTCGAACTAAGTTCTTCGCAGGACTTAAACCAGAAGTTAAAGCTCAGTTATAGCTTAGGGAGAAAGAGATATTTACCCTTACTAAACTTATTGAATCAGTAATTAGGGTCAATTCCATCCTATTTAAAAATAAGCTTGATAAGCAGGGAAAGACGCCCAGATACTAACCTAATTATAGGAGACCACGACGCTCTACTGATTACTATGGACTATAGCCTATGGAGATAGATAAGCTCTAGAGAGGTGACCAAGCCCTAAGAAAGCCCAAAAACTTTAAGAAAAACACGGGAAATTGTTTTAAGTGTGGCTAACTAGGACATTTTGCTCAAAACTGTTTGAAACCTAAGAAGTAGTTAATCAAGACCTTAGGAACAGGCATGCAAGCACGGAAGATTACAATACTCAGGAAAGGCTCTTATAATGCTTACCGATGGGGACCAAATCAGAATACAGGACTGTGGGATGAGATAATGATTCAGTGAATCTTGGAACGATATCCTGATGTTCAGACGAATATGGCTTATAAATTCTATTGGGCATTACTAATTAATTATTATAAGGTCCAGAATTGCGGATTTTGGGAGCACAGCGAAAATAAGGACCTAGGAGAACTATCATGGGAATATCCTTATGGACCACTAAAGGTTTTATTTATGTAAGTACGGCGAATACTCCAGATCGAGGGTATTAAGGGTAACGATTGTTATATATACTATAAGCATCTTCCAGTCAATCTTTGTATGGTATGGGGTTGTCAATATCCAAGGTACCATGTACTAGTGATGTAATAGGGAACTATTGATGAAAACCACCTATCAATTAATACTGGACCAGCACTGTAGGGAATCCAAAGTATGATTGGAAATCTGGACCCTGAGGAGAATGAGATAATAGAGAATATCTATAAATATATCATGAAACTCATCTATATGACGGATGATTTAACAAGAAGGGCTATTATATGGGTTTTGCCTAAGGACCTGTACTGAATTGGATTTCAGATAAACGCAGATCCAGATTCTGAAGATCCACAGAAGTTATATCGACTGAACCTGTAAGTAATAAAAGTAATATCCAACCTGGATGGAAGTTCTAAGGAATGGGAGTCAGGTGAAGAAATGCTTGACGATGGTGAAAGCGAGCACCCTTACTTCTTAGGAAATGAGGAGGTTGACTATTAAAGAGTATAATAGTTAACTTTTAGAAGGAACCTTGAAGCCTCAGCAAGTTAGGGGAAGGCAAGCTAATGGTAGAAGTTGAGATTATAGGTAACCCTACTATGGCTATAATTGACTCAGGAGCTATGGCAGACTTCTTAAGCAGTCGGTATGTGAAGGAGTGGGATTTACCCTTATATAAGAAAAAGGACCCATATCTACTTATTACTGTTAATGGAACTCCAATTACTTTAGACCAAGGTATGGTTAAGTATAAGACAACCGTCGACATGATAATATTAGGCAAAAAGGTTAGAAGGATATTTGATGTTACTAATATTAGGGATTTAGATATCATCTTTAGATTATTATGGCTCCAGGATAAAAGACTACATATTGACTGGTTAACCTTAACTATGTCTCTGGTTAAGGATTGATATCCTGCCTAGGCCAGGAAGCGCACTGGAGGGCAGATGAAAAAGCTTATATAGCAGAGTATATAAGATGTAGAGGCGGTAGCTATTTATCAGCTTTAAGGGGAGCAGAAGATAGCGTTCCAAATTCCTTCGGAGTATAGGGAATTTACAGAACTTTTTAAGAAGGAGGCTTTAGAAGAAGCCTTATTACCGCACCAGCCGTTCGATCACGAAATAGTGCTAAAAAAGGGATCCTAACTAAAAAGGTTTGGTATATACCTACTCAGGGCAGACCAAAGAGAAGCACTAGATAAGTACTTGGATGAGAACCTGAGATGAGGTTTTATCGAAGAGTCCAAGTCTCCTATAAGATATCCGGTATTCTATATATCTAAACCTGATGGCGGACTATGACTTTATATGGATTATAGATACCTAAACAGTATCACGGTGAAGAATGGCATGACACTACTATTAATCCAGGAGTTATAAGACTGACTCTAAGGAGCTCGATAGTTCATAAAGTTTGATATACCGGAAGTATTCCATTGAATTTAGATTAAACAGGGTGATAAGTACAAGACAGCATTTAGCACTCATTAAGGGCATTATCAGTATAGAGTGATGCTATTTAGGCTTATAAATACTCCAGCTACCATGCAAGCATACATGAACCATATGTTATGGGAACACTTGGACAAGTATATTGAAGTCTATATGGATGATATTTTAATATACTCCCGGACGCTTAAAGAACATGTCGAACACGTCCAAAAGGTCTTGAAAGCGCTAAAGAAACATAATTTACGGCTTAAACCATCTAAATGCGAGTTCCATAAACAAAGAATCGAGTTT